GCATTCTACAGCTCGATGCCCTTCTCTTCCGCACTTGAAACACCCCATCTGCTTCTTGGCTGTATCCGATGATTTCACCGGTTGGTGTGTCAGCTCAGGCGGGGGGCGGCTCCATTGTTTTCCTCGGCGATGCCTCTTCAATATGTCGATCTCTGCTTCCTCTGCCAAGACGTACCATTCCTCAAGTCGATGTGGGTCTCCTCGGGGCAGGCAAGCATCATATAGATCATAGTTTAGTCCGTCTTTGAAACGGCCAAGGAGGATGTCTTCTGGCCAATTCAGTTTGCTGGCAATGGCTCGGAATTCTTGTGTATACTCAGCCACTGGGCGTTTGCCCTGCCTCATCGTTGTTATTCTTTCACGGGCTTTGCGATCAGCCAGGGGGTCTTCAAATCGTCTTCTCAACGAGGACATGAAACGGTTGAAGTTACTGAGTTCTGGGGCATTGGAGTCATGCAGGTTCACCACCCAATCTGCAGCTGGTCCATCCAGGGCAGATTGCACGATCCGGATGCGGGCTTTGTCGCTGGGGATGTCCTGCCCATATTCCTCCATGTAGCTGAGGACTTGGGTTAGGAAAAACCCCAAGCGTGTTGGCTCCCCTTTGAATTTCACCTCCAACGGTGGACGTCTTGGAATGGATCGGTGCCTCCATTGTGGGTGGTAGTGTCTTCCGTCCAGATTTCCATCTGTGGTCCGGTAGGGGGTGGGAGCTCCTGGATCAGTAAATGTCCCTGGGGTTGCAGGTTCCACGTCCCCCTCGGTGTCTCTCCCTTTGTGGCTCCAGGAACTGGGGCGGGCGTAGGGCTCAGGAATCTCCTCTCCTAGGGAGCTGAGAGTTCTCTTCATCAGGTCAATAGCTCTCTCTAGGATCCAGTCTGAGTACGGCATACAGCTTCCTCCCTCTTCACTTGCGTGCAGGGATTTCTCCATCTCCTGCTTCCATTCTGGTTGCTTGGTTCCCCGTCTCAGGGTCACTTTTCTTGATTCCTTTCCCCACTCGCTTTTCTTTCCAACGCCCATCGACCAGCGAGGCTTGTGGTCCTGTGTCTCCACCACTTCTTCTTCTGAGAAATCTGGCCTCTCGGATCCCAACATCTGGCAAGGTTCCAACTGGGTCAGCGGCTCTCTTTCCAGGGAGTTTTCTCCCTCTCTTGCTTCGTTGTCTGACATGGTAAATTTTTGCAAAATCCCCCGGCAAGGGTCTACCTTCCAGGTGGATTAATTTTGCAAGTCCTGTCTAATGTAAGGACCCACCCCACTTTGCATCTTAAGAAGACAGAACTCTTGGAATAGCTCTTCCAACAGGAATCCTTTATTAAGAGAAAATGGTTGCAGGCATGCTAGACAGGACTTGGGGTTCAAGCTCTCCCATTCAAGGTTTTAAGGGGTTCCCCAGTAGTCCCACCCAATCAACCCCCCTTCCAGTGATAGTTTCAAGTATCACAATTCCATCCCCTTTCTTCTTCCGTCTGGATGGAGACTTCAGATAACTACATGAAAGGCAATTACTCTTCTTTGATATGTTAAGCTTAGAGGCCACAATAAACACACATTCAGTCCTTTGAAGTGTGCTGAAGGAAGTGAGGGCCATAAAGCCCCTTTGCTCTCCCCCTTTTCTCCCTCTTATGGCAGAATCCAGAGAAGGCAGAATTGGGAGTTTCTATGTTTGATAATTAAAGATGAAATATAATTGGATTCTGACAGTTTCTTTTTCCTCTTTGAACAAAAACATTTAGAAAAAGTGGGATATTCTATTCTATTTTATTAAAGATTCTACCCAAGAACCGCTGAGATCACAGTGACTACATGGACATATTTTCATGTATTGTGACATTGTCCTCTTCCAAAATTGTTATTTAAATTTCTCCATCTAATTCACAACATTGAGATTTTCAGATGCTCTCATTTAAGGGACATCATTGCTAATCCTGCTGAACTTTTTCAAGATAGGTAAAGTTGGTTAGATACTGTCACTTGCTGTGCACATTTTATTAAAGGAATTAAAACAATTGAAAGAGATGGAGAAATTCACTCATTCCTTCAATCTTGAAGAGGCTGGACATAACTCAGGACACATAGTAATATGGATTTTCAATAAGACAGTAATAATGCGATAACTATAACTTTCAGCAACACATAATTTCTAGATCTTCAAATGCCTGATTTGTGACCGTAATAAGAGATTGAATTCTTAAAAATGCCAAGTATGGTGTTTCTTTAGATTTTGCAATGCCATTTATTTTTTTGTTTAGTTTAGAGGAAATAATTGACTGCAAAATTTCTCACTTTCTAGATTTCTTTGCAACAGGAAACACGTATTTAAGCTTCTTGTTTTAACCACAAGTTGAACTTGATAACAATCAGAGAAAATTACCAATAATTTTACTCTACTGACAAAGTCTTATCTTTTGGGATAGTAATGCAGAAACTTTCAAATACTGTTAAGTTTTCAAATGCTGTAAATAAGATCAAACAGATTCCTGTCAAGCATAGCAGACAACTTTGTCACCCAAAAGGTAGAACAGGGAACTAGAGGGTCAGCCATACTGGACTTAATTCTCACTAACAGAGATGAAATGATAGAAGATGTTGAGTCACAGGAAAGTTGGGAGGGGGGGGAGTGACCATGCAATGTTGGAATTCAACTCTATGTAAGCACAAGCAATAGAACAAAGTCAAACTAGAGTCTTAGACTTCAAAAGAGCTGATTTCAATAAACTTTCAGAGAGCTTGGGAAGGATACTATGGATGAGAATTCTCAAGGGAAAACAACCGAAGGAGCTTGGAAAACTTTGAAAGTGAGAGTATAAAAGCCTAGTCTATCACAATTCCAATGAAGAAAAATAAGAGATCTCAAAAGAAACCAGCATGGCTGCACAAAGAACTCTCTGATAAACTGAAAGACAAAAAAGGACAAGTATAAAAAGTGGAAGGAGCACATAACTAAGGCAAAATAGCAATAAATACCCAAACCTGTAAAAATGGAATCAAAAAAGCTAAGGCTCAAAATGAACTAAGGTTTGTGACAAAAATTAAAAAATAATAAAAATAATAAAATTGGTTTGTATTGTATTGTAGATGGCAAACTATTTCAAAGAAAGAGATCTTATTTTATTTGATCTTGTTTATAATGGGATATGGCTTCTGGTTTTTAGGCTTGAAATAAAAAATGAAATTAGAATTTGAAGATTTAATAATTGTGTAGTTATAGAACTGGTTTGTAATAATTGTAAGTAATGTAAAAAGTTGGTCGTAATTCAGTAATATTTTAATGTGTTAGAAAATATTCAGAAAACAACATTTTTTCTTCACTTTTTTTTCTTGTCCTCCTGCACCCACCTTAATCTTTATTTTCACTATATTTCATGATATAATAAAAATTTACTTATATACATGAATACATGTCAGTGACTCCCTAAAAAGCAAAAAGTGCAGTTTGTGTATTACTTGTCTGATATAAACTCAAACTTACTTTCACATCTGTTCCCCTTACACTCCATCTCCCATTCATTTTGTTCGAAGATTAATCCATTGTCTACTACAGTATTTCTTTGTATAGGATTTCTTAAATCATGTTTAATCAATTAGAAAATAAATTAAAACTCTAGGTGAGTTCTATATCACAAAATAGTGGCAAACTGCCATCACTTTTCAGTAGTAGAGAATAGATTATGAGGCATGCAATGAAGGGGGCCATAGGTCCCTGTGGCCTTGGAGATGCCTGCCTATCCCAGATTTAAATTATAGTGTGATTTGTTTGGGTTCTGCTTGAAATATTGCATAAGGTTATTCAATCAACCATAATTAAACAATTCATATTGTAGAATGACGTATGAACTTTCCAGTGTCTAGAACAGGGGTAGACAACCTTGGCTCTTTTATGACTTGTGGACTTTTAACTCCCAGAATTCCTGAGTTTGCATGGCTGGTTCAGGAATTCTGGCATTGAAGTCCACAAGTCATAAAAGAGCCAAGGTTGCCTAACCTTGGTCTAGAACAATCCTCTCTGTTTCCTGCTGGGAAACCATTGGATGTGCAGAGAGAAGTGGGAACAGCCTCTGCTGCAGCATGGAAGTAGTTAACAAGCCCTTTTTCTTCAAGCAAGTGAAATGTTAATGGAATACTAAAATGCCCTATTTATTTCAGATCGAAATGAAGGAAATTAGTAAATAAGGATAATCAAGCAGGGATGGCTGAACACCTTTTTAGTCCCTAGTGTGCAATTTGTGTCGTTACTTACCTGTCCAAAATTGTTTGCATTTCTAATTCAAGCCTAGAGATTATATTTTCAGCTCCTGAAAGACAAGTCTCTAATTTTCAATGTAGTTCTCAAGATGAATTTGTCAAATAAACAAATAACAAATCTATGCAGGCTACAAACAATAACTCACGTTAGTTATTGAGAGGACTGCAATCATTAAAAAAGGGCATAATAAATTGGGGCATTCTGCCTTACAGTGCTGCGATTTCTTTCTAGTTATTTATTCAACATTTCTATAGGCTTTCCTTTAAAAATCTTAAGCGGCCCTCTTCTCAAGTGTGTGAGCTACGTCTGGCACATTGTTCTGAGCTGCCTGGAGAGACTCAAGATAGAATTAAAACAGACCTTGACACTGGCCAAAATCTGCACGAAGGAGCAGCGCTGCCCCTCTGAAGAATCGGAAGGGACCGTTCCCAGATCGCCCAGCCGCCCTTCTCTCTTCGCTTCAACCCCCCTCCCCGCCCTGCTTTCAGGGGGACTTTGTCGCCAATCAATTCCTGGCGGGAACTGGGGTAACACGTGCAGCGCGTTGCCCGCCCTGAGGAACGCAGCCAGCAGAGCCAGCTGTAGTTGGCTGGGCAATGCAAAATCTTCCTGCCCTTTCTGGGAAACGCCCAACAGGCAAACAAATCCTAGCAAAACTCGGACAGAAGGCGCAGTTGCTCCCGCAGTTTGGCGAAACATTCAAACTTCCCCGCACCCGTCTCTGGGACCGCCTATCCCGTCTCATCCTTACCATTTGGGCCACTTTCAGCATGGCAGAGCAAGAGCTCGCGTAGCCTCTGTCGAATAATCCGGTGTCTGGCCCGTAGGAAACGGGCGGTGGAGCAGAAGAGCTGGGAGCGCCCCCACTGCTGGCATCGGTACGGATGACCCGCATGCCGTGATATAGCCAACACCTTTCTGAACGAATGGGTGCAATTTACTCCCCCCCCCCGAACTATTGCGACACTCCTTAACTCCAGAGGCGGGACAGTGCGGGGCGGGGCCCGGCAACTCTCTGGCTAGGGTCCTCTTGTGCAGTTAGAGCCGGGCGAGGAGACAGGCCCGGGCCAGCTCCTCACTAAAGCCACGGGAGTAAGGTGGAAGGGCGGAGATGCTGCTCCGGGGAAGGGATCACATTGGGGAGGGGGCTCCTGGAGCCTTAACCCAGTGCTGCGTCGTGCTCGATACGCGAAGAGGGAGAGAAGGTAAAACAGGAAGGAGGAGGTGGCAGATGGAAGAAAAGGGCCCCCTCCTCTCTCTGCACACATATACGATAAACAGGAAGTCCATTAAATTGGTGGCGAGGAAAGAGGTGGTGAAATGCTTCGGGGCTGCTGCTGCTGTGTTACTACGAAAGGCTTTCGAAAGAGGATGGGCAACTATTCTACAAAAGCAAGAGCTGGGGAGAAATAAAAACTACATTATGAGGCTAATAAGATAAGAAAGTACTTTTTTAAAAAAGAACTCTTCATGTTCATGCAAAGCAAAACAGTGGAAGAGCAAAAGAAACTGCTGGTTGGAGTTGCAAAGTTTTATAGGCATTCTGCAAGTTTAAGACTGTCCTAGAGTATTTTTAAACCTGTTGGGACAAATAAATGAAAATAGCTCATATAAAAGTTAATTATAATGCAGATGTTAAGAGGGTCTTTCTCCTAAATGTCTTATAGAAGTTGTCAATATAAGAAAAATCAGATATCTAAAGCAAATAGTTCTGAATACCAAGAAATCTAGAAGTGATTTCAAGTGGTGCCATTTATTTTAAAAGAAAAGTCAGTATAAGTTAAGAGTAGATTTATCATATAATTGAGTGCCAATGTTGAAGCAGATCCTTGGCCTGATCCCACAGAATGTAAATTAGGTCTGTCCCTTCTCCAGCTTTGGATTTTCCAATTATAAAGAACATAATAGATACAGATTCTGGGAATTGCAGTCATACTTTTGGAAGTGGCTACTCTGCAGAAATATAAAACAATATGTATGGTCAGTTATAGGGATTTATTTATTTATTAAATTTATTCACCCGCCCATCTTACTGTCATGGAACTCCATATCCACTGGCAACGCTCCCTTATTGAGATTCACTACATAGTAAGTATGTGGCATCTGAAAGAAGCTTCAGGACTCCAACATAGCTAACACTAAAGCTGAGAATTCAAGAAATGAATTTCTCAAGGTGTGCCAAAATTATAGAGCCTTACCCCAACTATACGGATTAAATAAAATAATTTCTAGCTGGCAATTAACTGTGATTTGAGAGCATGACATTAAAAAAAAAGATCCATAATCAACCTTGACTACTGGCAATTTGATGGACACACCAATGCAGTTTTCTCAGAAATAGCATATACTGTAAACAATTTGCCACAATCGCCTTCCAAGATATTTTTCAATTTTCCATAGCCAGAAGCCTTGACATTCTCTGGTAGTCTCATGTTTAATTATCTAATAATCAGAAATACCATGGTTGGCTTCTCTATTTAGACATGGTTAGCTAGATACTACCACCTGCTGACTGTACAATCTATATGGGCTTCCTTTAGCCTAGAATGATTTTGTTACTTATTGGCAGTTTAATGTAATTAATTTCACATGTATTTTAATCTGGTTGTTCCTTCAAGTTACTTAGAGATAATATATGTTGTGCACTCTGCATTTTTACACATAAAAATGTCAGTGGGTGGATTAAATTGAAGAGCCTGACTAATACAGTTTCAGGCTGAATTGTGAAGTATTTTTTTTTAATTTTTAACCAACAAAACAGAACAAAGCAAAACATAATACATATACACACAATATATATATATTCCTCCTTTTTTTACAGCAGTTACGTAACAGTAATCTAATATTTACATTTCCCCCTTATTCTTCTTTAAATATTTATCCTTATAGCCACATTTCTTATTTACATTTTTCTTCCTTCATGTTCTATTTCTAAGAATAATTCATATTATTATTATACATTGTATATATATTTTCACTTTTGACCTTTCCATATTTATTCTCCTCTATTATTTCTAGTCTCCAACCAGATATACACCTTGTTCCATACTATATAATACTCTATGTCTTCCTTTTCTTTTATCTCTTTTGTTAATTTGTCCATCTCAGTACAGTCCAGGATTTTTCTTATTACTTCTTCCTCTGATGGTATATTCTCATTTTTCCAGCACTGTGCATATGCTATTCTTGCCGCCATTATTATATGTAAAATTAAGTACCATACTGCTTTATTATATTTTCTATTTAAAATACCCAACAAAAAGATCTCTGGTTTCCAGTCTACAGCTTGGTCTATTATTTCTTGGATCCATTTTCTTATTGTAGACCAGTATTTTTTTGCAACTGGGCACGTCCACCATAGATGATAATATGTTCCATGTACTTTTTTACATTTCCAACATGTTGGCGAATTATTCTGGAACATCTTGGCAAGCTTTGCAGGTGGAAGATGCCATCTGTAAAACATTTTCAACTGGTTTTCCTTGAATGCCGCCGACATAGTCAATTTTATATTTATTTCCCATATTTTTTCCATTTCTCCAATTCTATATTATATCTGAAATTTTTTGCCCATCTAATCATTGTATCTTTGACAACCTCGTCTTCCATTTTATATCTCAATAGGTATTTGTATAAATTGCTAATTAATTTTATTTCTGTTCCATGTATAATTTTATCCAATTCTTGCGGCTTTTTGGATTTCATATAATTTTTTGTCCTCTGTATATTTAGATTGAATTTGTGTAAATGTCCACCAATCAATCTCTCTGCCAATGTCTTGTTCCATGAATTGTGAAGTATTTAATTGTATATTGCCATGACTGTCACACTAATTCTGAAATCCTTAGGGAAAAAATTCCAAATTCACGTTCAATGTATTTTGGTTGGTTCTGGATCTGTTTGAAGATGACAGAATTGAAGACAAAATTGATTAGTTTCTTTTTTATGCTAGGTTTTCAGATGGTACTGCATTAGTGCTGAATTTTAAGAATTATTGTGCTTCAATGAGGAATCTAGTTATTTTACTTCTTTAATGTTCATAAAATTAAAGAACATTTACATTATAAAAAACTTTTACCATGAACATGGGTAAAGTTTGTAGATTGTAAATTCAATGTCCCACAAAATACTCAGTGTAGTTCCTGGCATGAAGCTTTATTTAGAAATGGGTCCACTTAAAAAAACATAGCCTGCTGATCTTAACCTGTGAAATTAAAATTTTCATATCTATCATAGTCTTTACATAACATAACCAGAATGAACTGGCCTGCTGGCTATTTGAGAAAGGAAGTGAAGTTAACCAGAGATCTGTATAACTCTGGGATACAATATGCATCAGCTTGCCAAAATGAAATCTGTCCATCCAGCTCAGACATCCAGAAAGGATTTGTTAAAGATTCCCCCATGAGAAGTACATTGGGCATCAACAATGGGGTAGCCCAGTGGTGGCAAACCTATGGCACGCGTGACAGAGGCAGCACTCAGAGCCCTCTCTATGGGCACGCACGCTGTTGCCCCAGCAGAGTTCGCCAGAGTAGTGAGCATGTGGCGTTTGGAAGCGATGCGCCAGGGAGTGAGCAAGTGGGGTTGGCCCCCCAGGGATGCCATGCTCACCCAGTCTGCTGTGACCACTGCAGCCATGCCCACCCAGTGGGCCATGCCCCCCACCTCCCCTGAGGGCACCACAATGCTGATGCAGCCCTGGCACTTTGCGATAAATAAGTGGGTCACTGGGGTAGCCCTTCCCCCACCCCATGGATCATTTTTCTTGCATTTTCAGAAGCAAGTAAAAGCCATCCAGTCTAGTTGAGGGTTTGTTTCAATCTGACACAATTCAAACATATTTTAGGAATTTGTATTCATAGTCTGCAATTATGGGTTGTTTGGTAATACATATAATTTATATGTATGTGTGTGTTATTTTGTTGTGCTATTATTCCCCAGCCAGAGAATGACAAGATTTTCTTATTTTTTTTTTAGATTTCTTTTTTAATCTCACCTTTATTTTATAAGTAACTTAAGGGGGTAAACATACATAATACTCTTTACTTCTCCCATTTTCCACACATCAATAATCCTGGGAGGTGGATTGGAAGGAGAGAGATTAACAGGTCCAAAGTCACCCAGCTGGTTTTCATGCGTAAAGTGGGACTGGAACTCAGTCTCCTGGTTTCTAGCTGAGCTCTTTAACCACTACACCAAGCTGGCAAGTTCTACGTTAAATAAAATATACCAAAAATAGGCATCTTCTAAGAACAGTGTCCCCCCTTTCTGTGCTTAATATGGATGAGTACATAATTTTTAAAAAAGTTTGTTGCAGCTACTTCTGAGAGCAAACTCCTATTTTCATGTTAAATTTCAAGAAAATGTTCTCTAAGATTATAATTTTTCCTTTTGTTCTCCCTCCCCCCAACCATAGGCTTCTATTGCAGTAACTTTGGAATATTAATGCTGATTTTTGACAGTGTCAGGTGATGAAATTGTGTTCCACTGATGCAGAATTTTGTTTGTTCAGATCCCTAGAGGGTGAATATATTTGTTTCTCTACTTTGGTTGCATGTAAAAACTCCAAGAATGACCTCTAAGTTTATAAAAGATTTTTGCTTTTAAGGGAAAGTAGTTCAGCTGCAACCATTTTTATACAATATGGTGAAGAACCTCAGGAAGTGAGAGCATGCATGATGACATTTTTAAAGTTTCCACAGTATTCATGTTTTTATGTCAAAACTTTCCCACACAAGTTCAATTTACATGTTTTTCTATAACAGTAACCCTAAGAGATGAACCAAAATCAGCCAGGACTGATAGTGGGATAGATTCCTGATCTTCCAGATGTAGTCAGGCATTTTATATCACTGCACTACATAGATGGATCTCAAAATGGAGCTATCTTTATACTAATGTTGTGACTGATATTAAATCTAATTCCTGATTATTGAAAACTCAAATTATAGAGGTTTATTAACATTTTCACTGATGTTTCTCAGGAACTAGTTTTCAGGGGAATGCTGTCAGCAGCATATGATCTCCTATTGGGCACCTCTATCCTTTCTGAATTTGTTTAATTCCTTATACAATAGTTTAAGATGGCCATCCTCACACCATACAGGAGTAAATTCCAGAGTTCAGCTATGTACTCTTTGGAACAATCTCTCCTCTTTGTCTGCCCCAAATCTTATACCATTCAGACTCATAAGATAATCTTCAGTTCTAGCATTGTGAGAAACAGAGAAATTGTTACCTGCTTTTTCAGTATTACACCATGTATCACATGCTTATCATTTAAGAAAAATGATTTAAAAATAACATCTTTAAATGAAATTATTCATGTCCCTGGTCAGTTAATTCTTTTTTCTCCATCTTTTCCAGATCTAAAGCCAAGTCCAGTTACTAGAATGGAACACAATATTTTAAATGTGATCATTCTACAGACTTATGCAAGTAATGCATTTCTTTTATTCAGTCTTCCCTAAATGTATGCCCCAATGAATTATTAACTATTCCCATCTATATCTAACTGTAATAAATCTGCAGCCTTGAAAGTTATATACATTTGCAAATAATAGGAGGTTCTGTAACAGTAGATTTTGCTAATAAATAAATCATGATTAAACAAGAACATTTTTGAAGAAAACAACTGTGAAGTCCACTGATTTTGTTACAACAGTATACACTATCTAAGGAAATTATATGCATTGATACAAAGAGTAACAAGTTCCGGTTAACAGTGTTTTATCTGAGGATACATGTTTTTCATGTTTAAAAAGCTTTCAGATTTTAAATCAATCCCATCAGATGGTGGTGCTGGTTATACAATGCTCTTCAACACTATTGACAAGAATCCTGAGATCTGGAGCAGCTTTCAGAGACACAATATTGTACGGAAGTGACTGGAGTGGAAACAACATTGAACGGCTTCTGTGCTTTATTCTCTTCCCTCCTATACCATCAATTCTTCCTTCTGTTTCTTGTTTGTGGTAACTGAGCTGTGTCACAATGATTAACTCAAATGAAGACATTAATAAGAGAACTGTGTGTAGAACCATTTCTGTCAGGTGAACTACCCTTTCCATAATTTGCAAAAAGAACCATTTGTTTTTACTTTTGAGTGAAAACCATTATTACCTAAACATTTTCATCAAAATTATATAACATTTACAAACACAGAGATCTCTTTTATTAGAAGAAAATACTTATTGCAAGGTCCGTGATCTCCAAGATACAAAACTAAAGTACGTATTTCCACCATAGCAGGAAGCAACAACGAAGGCAAAGAACTGCATGGGGGGGGAGAGGGGGAGGGACAGAGAGAAAATAATTAGAAAACAGTAAACATCTTCAGCCAGATTTTTACTTATATTTAGGTATAATAGAAGGTATAGTATAAAAATAAATTTAATATCACATTGTTTCCATTCCTAGCAAGACACTAAATTCTGTGGAAGAAATATTATTGAGCCTTAATGTATTCATAGTATTAGGATGACTTTGCAATAGCAATTCCATATTGACATTAGTGAAAACAAGTGACATTTTTGATTGCTATTAACTGGAAGTTAATGAGTAGTTAAATAATATTGCTTTTTTACTGTTTTGTACGTATTTAACAAGTTTGTTTCCATGGTACTTTATTTATATTAACTGTGGCTTAACACTGCAAATTCTGATTTAATTTGCAAGAGAAAAGGAAATAAACATTATTAAATAGTCTTGTATCTAACAGTCCAATAGGTTGGAGAACTGATATTCTCAGTAAACAAAAAGTAAATTGAAACCTAGATGTTCCTCAAAAATAAATCTCATCTACCATGTTTATCCTTGTTCCGTTATACATAGGTTCTAACATTTTACCTAGAGCTTTCCACATACTCAGCCATATATTTATAGCATGAAAGGCTAAACAATACTTTTTTTTTTCTTCTCATGAAGAAAACAAAAGATTTTATGTGTTTGTTTGATTTCCAAAGCTGTCTAATTGCCATGTGACTCAAGCATTTTCCAAATACTGAATTTCATGCATAACTCCAAAATAAGAATTTGGCTTTTCTAGGCAGTTTTGCCCCTTTATGCATTACTGCCTTGTCGTGGCGAAGGGGCTTGCGTAATTCAATGAAGCTATAAGCTATGCCGTGCAGGGCCACCCAAGACGGACAGGTTATAGCAGAGAGTTCTGACAAAATGTGATCCACTGGAGAAGGAAATGGCAAACCACTCCAGTATCTTTGCCATGAAAACCCCATGGACAGTACTAAAAGGCAAAAAGATATGACGCTGGAAGATAAGCCCCTCAGGTCGGAAGGTGTCCAATATGCTACTGGGGAAGAGCAGAGGGCTAGTACTAGTAGCACCAGAAAGAATGAAGCGACTGGGCCAAAGCCGAAAGGACGCTCAGCTGTGGATATATCTGGTGGTGAAAGGAAAGTCCGATGCTTTAAAGATTTTTTCTCCATAGGAACCTGGAATGTAAGATCCATGAATCAAGGCAAGCTAGACGTAGTCAAAAAAGAGATGACAAGACTGAACATCGACATCTTAGGAATCAGCGAACTAAAATGGACAGGAATGGGTGAATTTAACTCAGATGACCATCAGGTATACTACTGTGGGCAAGAATCCCTCAGAAGAAATGGAGTAGCCTTCATAGTCAATAAAAGAATAGGAAAAGCAATACTGGGATACAATCCCCAAAATGACAGAATGATCTCAATTCGAATCCAAGGCAAACCATTCAATATCACAATAGTCCAAATCTATGCCCCAACCACTGGTGCTGAAGAGGATGAAATTGACCGGTTCTATGAAGCCCTATAGCACCTTATAGAATTAACACCAAAAAATGATGTACTTATCATCATGGGGGATTTGAATGCTAAGGTAGGAAGCCAAAAGATAACCGGAATAACAGGCAAGTTTGGCCTTGGAGTACAAAATGAAGCAGGGCACAGGCTAATAGAGTTTTGTCAAGAGAATACGATGGTCATAACAAACACTCTTTTCCAACAACCCAAGAGACGGCTCTACACATGGACATCACCAGATGGTCAACATAGAAATCAGATTGACTATGTGCTCTGCAGCCAAAGATGGAGAAGCTCTATACAGTCAGTAAAAACAAGACCAGGAGCTGACTGTGGCTCAGATCATGAGCTTCTCGTTGCAAAATTTAGGCTTAAATTGAAAAAAGTAGGGAAAAGCACTAGGCCACTCAGGTATGAACTAAATCATATTCCTGATGAATATACAGTAGAGGTGACAAATAGATTTAAGGAATTGGATCTGATAGACAGAGTGCCTGAAGAACTATGGATGGAAGTTCGCAACATTGTACAAGAGGTAGCAACTAAAACCATCCCAAAGAAAAAGAAATGCAAGAAAGCAAAATGGCTGTCTGAGGAAGCTTTGCAAATAGCTGAGGAAAGAAGGGAAGCGAAAGGCAAGGAGAAAGAGAAAGATACACCCAATTGAATGCAGAATTCCAGAGAGTAGCTAGAAGAGATAAGAATGCCTTCTTAAATGAACAGTGCAAAGAAATAGAAGAAAACAACAGAATAGGGAGGACCAGAGATCTCTTCAAGAAAATTGGAGATATGAAGGGAACGTTTCATGCAAAGATGGGCATGATAAAGGACCAAAAATGGCAGAGACCTAACAGAGGCAGAAGAGATTAAGAAGAGATGGCAAAACTACACAGAAGAACTATACAAGAATGAGCTTAACATCCCAGATAACCACAATGAGATGGTCACTGACCTCGAACCAGACATCCTAGAATGTGAAGTGAAATGGGCCTTAGAAAATCTGAGCAACAACAAAGCTAGTGGAGGTGACAGTATTCCAGCTGAGCTATTCAAAATCTTAAAAGACGATGCAGTAAAAGTGCTACACTCAATTTGCCAGCAAATTTGGAAAACTCAACAGTGGCCACAGGATTGGAAAAGGTCAGTTTACATTCCAATTCCAAAGAAAGGCAATGCCAAAGAATGTTCAAACTATCGCACCATTGCACTCATTTCACATGCTAGTAAAGTTATGCTTAAAATCCTACAAGCTAGACTCCAGCAGTATGTGGATCGAGAACTACCAGAAGTACAGGCAGGATTTCGAAGAGGCAGAGGAACTAGAGATCAAATTGCCAACATACGCTGGATCATGGAGAAAGCTAGGGAGTTCCAGAAAAACATCTACTTCTGCTTCATTGACTATGCAAAAGCCTTTGATTGTGTGGATCACAACAAATTGTGGCAAGTTCTTAAAGAGATGGGAGTACCAGACCATCTCATTTGTCTCTTGAGAAACCTATATGCGGGTCAAGAAGCAACAGTGAGAACCGAACACGGAACCACTGATTGGTTCGAAATTGGAAAAGGAGTCCGGCAAGGCTGTATACTGTTGTCCTGCCTATTTAACTTATATGCAGAGCACATCATGAGAAAGTCAGGGCTAGATGAATCAAAAGTTGGAATTAAGATTGCCGGGAGAAATATCAACAACCTAAGATATGCAGATGATACCACTCTAATGGCAGAAAGTGAAGAGGAACTAAAGAGCCTCTTGATGCGGGTGAAGAAGGAGAGTGCAAAAGTTGGCTTGAAACTCAACATTAAGAAAACCAAAATCATGGCATCCGGCCCTCTCAATTCCTGGCAAATAGATGGGGAAGAAATGGAGGTAGTGACAGATTTTATTTTTCTGGGCTCCAAGATCACCTCAGATGGGGACTGCAGCCAAGAAATTAAAAGACGCTTGCTCCTGGGGAGGAAAGCTATGGCAAATCTAGACAGCATTCTAAAAAGCAGAGACATCACCCTGCCAACAAAAGTGCGTATAGTCCAGGCCATGGTTTTCCCAGTTGCAATGTATGGCTGTGAAAGTTGGACCATAAGAAAGGCTGAGCGCAAAAGAATTGAGGCCTTGAACTATGGTGCTGGAGAAGACTCCTGCGAGTCCCTTGGACTGCAAGGCGTTCAAACCGGTCAGTCCCAGAAGAGATCAACCCCGACTATTCTTTAGAAGGCCAGATCCTGAAGTTGAAACTCAAGTACTTTGGCCACCTAATGAGAAGGAAAGATTTACTGGAGAAGAGCCTAATGCTGGGAAAGATTGAGGGCAATAGAAGAAGGGGACGACAGAGAATGAGATGGCTGGATGGAGTCACTGAAGCAGTACGTGTGAATTTAAATGGACTCCAGAAGATGGTAGAGGACAGGAAGGCCTGGAGGAACGTTGTCCATGGGGTTGCGATGGGTCGGACACGACTTCGCAATTAACAACAACAACAACAAGGCAGTTTTATTTTTAGAAGTTATTTTGGGAGGAATAACAATATTTTAGATAGGAAGATTTTTCTATCCTGGAATAAAAGCCAAGAGATGAAAGGAGTTGGAAAATGAAATATATCAGTGGGATGTCAACATTTTTATAGTACCCAAGCATGACCTATTGAGAACAGTAATGACTTGTGCATACATGTCTGCCACAGGGATATAATTATGTGAATTTAATCATTATAATATTCCCTCCATGGAAAGACAAGGGAAGGAATGTAAGACCATACCTACCTGCCTCCATCATTCTACATCACAATTTGCTGCACAAACCATAGTGGCCTAGTTAATATGCTACCATAAATCACAATATCTTCTAAGCCAAGATCAAATCAGCCACTTTATACTTTAAAACGGGCATGTCAAACACTCAGCCCGTGGCCCGCATCCAATCTGCACAGTCCATGCCCACCCTGGCCCTGCAAGGTCAAAACAAATCCTGATATGTCACAATACAGCCTATGATGCGATCAGGTTTGATGCCCCTGTTTTAGAATATACCTAACCTAGACTGATAGTGGCAAGATTACGAAGTCAGACCTGATTAGTATTTGAATGGTAGACTAGCTAAAAATCCCAGGACTGTAGGGTGTTTATTTAAGTAAAGATAGAAGATATTTTTTTAAAATACTTTTGAATCAGTTTTTGACTCCTGGCAACTGCCTAGAGACTATCACTGCAGTTTTCTTGGCCAGATTTTTTGCTACTACCTCCTTTCTAGGACTGAGAGAGAATTATTAGACCAATCACTACGGCAGACTAGAACTCATCATTTCCTGGTTTCTAGCCTGATGCTTTAATCACTACACCTAGCTGGTTCTCTATGGTTTAGTTTTAGTCAAAGAAATTTAGTTTTATAGTAAACTTGGTTATAAAATCTGTAAGAATAGGTAGTTCCACATAAAGGTAGAAAAGTGGCTTAATCTATCATGTGCACAGGAATCTTTTTCAGATTTCAGCTCTACATCCCAAGGTCCAAATAGCAGAGCAATTAAATAAGAAAAACTCTTCTCCTTATTAATGAATAGAGCATTTATTTATTTCATATGTGATATAATCCAAAAATCTTACATGATGTGGCCATTAGCACACTGCTAGGTGGAAAAAAAGCAGGAATTAAGTAGTACTTAAACAAAAAGTAAGTACAATTTTAAGAATGTCTGGTTATTATAAGTTAACTTGAATCTTATATCTGATTTTGGAGGTAAATGAACCAAAGCAAATAAAAATTCTTTCCCTCACTGCTGATATTAAGTTTAAACATGATCTTACCGAAGATGCTGCCCAACTATTATAATTGTGGTAGTCAAGTTCTTTGGTGACTGTACATGCTTCTGAAATAGCAGCAATTAAGTACAAGAGGAGGGCACTGCCGTTAAAATACAGACCCTACAGGATGTAGGAAAAAAAAAATCAGTATTTCCCCCCCCCTGCAAACATTATTCTATGCATTTTGTATCATTTCCCAGTTTAAAGCCAGTCTGGCTGAGCGTGAAGGAGATGTATTCCCTCATCTGAAAAACATCATGTTGGGGGCAAAGCCACTGTAGCTAAATATTTGTCTGAAATAATATCTTAAGGAACTTAATTTCTCAAAGTAGGTTTGCTGGTGAGAAAAGCCTCCAAACTACTGATTAAAAGAGGAAAATCTTTCCCCTAAACACAATTTACAGGCTGTACTCTTCTCATTATTGTGTACACAGCTTCATGTGATACCAGGATGATCTAAGACACTGGTGACTGCAGGAGAATAGTCAAATGGTAACCCTCATATATTTGACTCAAGCACTGACTAAGAACAACACTTAAAGGTTTCTGGCAGGGCTAAAGATCACAATGACTGGGATAAATCAAAGTGAATGAGGCAGAAGGTATATGCAGTCAGATTGGTGTTCTCAATTTTTCTGTGTATATATCCTGCTGCCCTGACAGTGATTTTGAATAGTAACAATGGATTTTGGCATGCAAAACAGTGGATTAAATTGGAATATGCTGCTTTTCAACCCACTAGTGCCAGGGAAATTATAATTTATCAGAAAAGAGAGAGGAAGCCAAGCTTCTTGCAGATATTCTTTTAGAAGCTAATACATGGGGAAAGGTTAATCTGCATTTTACCATGAAGTCTCTCCTAACTAATCCTCCCTTGCCAAACCAATGTTTTAAAAAAATCTGGCTCAGATGCTATGGAGTGTTTCATAAAACGATGCTATGCCAGCAGAACTGTTGCCGTAGGTTGGTAGACTCTAGCCAATAAAAATGCTTGGGAGTCTCCCTGCAAAATGGGAAATACTGCTCCACTTACAATGTGTTGTGTATTTTCTTAAGGGATCTGCATAAGCTTCTACTTCCATCTTCTTAATTTAACAGTGCAAAGCCAAATATTATGGCCTCATCCACTACAGAAATGTTCTGGGAAGTGTCAAAAGACTGCAATGGATCTGTTTGAAGGTGACAGGTTCCTCTTTTTTGCAATATATATTTGAGTTTCCTGTAAAAAACAAACATGTACTCACAACTGTGGTCCATGGCACTTGAGGTATCCTAGTATAGGTCATTGTCATATAGATGATCAAAAAAAAGAGTGTAAGAATCCAGTAAAACACAGCCACAAACATTATCCATCCAAATACAGGATATAGGAAATAGTCTGTTCCAGCAATCAACATCCACACTAGCAATCCTAGAACCTATAAATATATGAAAAAATAAGGTATTGTTATTGAATGCATACAAATAAAGAAGAAATGTATTATTATGGTATGCAAAGTAAAACATCTAAAAATTGTTTCTGAAAATTTTAATAAAATCTGATTTGATTCCAGAATATGAACTTTCAGATTTTTTTTTATACTTCTGCTCCATTAAAAAAAATAATCTAAACCTGTCAAATAAGATACAGCATATACTGTGTTTCTCCGAAAATAGGCCCAGGTCTTATGTTTACTTTTGATCCAAAAGACCCATTAGGGCTTATTTTGGGGGGATGTCTTATTTTTTCATTATTAAAAAGTTTTATAAGTTTTACAAAAAAAACAAAACAATACAAAAACAAAAAACAACATATACAAAGAAAAAACTAAACATTACACAACAAAACCCCCCTTCCCCTACCCCCACCCAGACACCCCCCCTTCCCCCCCCTGAGCTTCCCAGAGCAGAATATAGGCTTAATTAAAAAACAATTAAAAATTATGTTTATAAAAAAAAGAAAATATAACATTAAAATATATATGTATATATATAAAAATAAAAATTATGAAAAGGCTATATAGTATTTTTTTATATCCAGTTTAAATTGTATAAATTTTATCCACTTATCCCAAACAGCAAGAAATTTCTCTTGCGTTTGTTCCTTTAAAAAAGCCGAAATCTTTGCCATTTCTGCCAAATAAGACACTTTAAGAAACCACTCTTGCAAGGTAGGCAAAGATTCCTTCTTCCAATATTGCCCTACTAACAGCCTTGCGGCTGTAATCAAATTTAACATCAATATAACCTCCTATGTATCACAATCAGTAACTATACCCAAGAAAAATAATTGCGGAGTAAATTTTACCCTCCTTCTAAAAATTCTCTGGATATTCCACCATATCTTAATCCAAAATGCTTTTATCTCTCTGCACGACCACCAAATATGATAATAAGTAGCGTCCATACAACCACACCTCCAACATTTAGGTTGTAAGTCAGGGTACATAAGAGACATTTTTTGTGGATCAAGGTGCCATCTATAAAACATTTTATAAAAATTCTCCCTTAAGTTCTGTGCTTGTGTAAATTTGACATTTCTCACCCAGATGGTTTCCCAGGTATCCAATGGAACTGGCTCACCAAAGTTCTGCGCCCATCTGATCATACAATCTTTAATTAGTTCCGTTTCTGAATCCAATTCAACTAAAACCCCATAAATCCTCTTAATGTGGGTTTGTCTTTGATCCTTCACTTGCTTAATAAAATTTTCATCTTCTCTAAGGAAACCCACCTTACAATCCACCTTCCATCTATCTACTAATTGCCTATATTGGAACCAAGAATAAATAATATTTTCTTGTGCTAACTCTTCCCGTGACTTAAACTGCCAGTTTAGTCCATCCCATCTAAGTAGCTGTCTATAAGACACCATATCCATTTTAGCACCTCTTTTTATTCCTTCTATCGCATGCCAAGGTATAGCCCATAATGGTACTTTAAAATCACTTTTATAATATTTTCTCCAAATCCTAAGTAAAGAAATTCTTAAAATATGAGCTTTAAAGATCCAATCCATTTTTTTATTAAATATTAAATAGGCATGCCACCCAAAAAGTAAATCCCATCCCTCTAGATGGAGTATCTCAGGATTTGTCAAATTTACCCAATCACTAATTAGTGTTAGAACCACCGCATCATAGTATAATTTCAAATTCGGTACCTTGAGTCCACCCCTCTCATGGAAGTCTTGCATAATTTTAAACTTAACCCTTGGCTTTTTCCCTGCCCAAATGAATTTATTGAGGCCTTTCTGCCATTCACTTAGATTAATCTCATTCTTCAAAATCGGTAACATTTGAAACAAAAAGAGAAACTTGGGTAGAATATTCATTTTTATCACTGCAATTCTTCCCATGAGGGATAATTGCAACTTCTCCCAATTCTTCAAGTCTTTCTGTACCCTAACCCACAACCTTTCATAGTTATTTTTAAATAGTTTTGCATTAGAAACAGATAACATCACCCCCAAATATTTTACCTTATTAACAATTTCAAAACCCGTCAAATTAACCAAAGTCTGCTTCTCCTGACTAGTCATATTTTTAGGTAGAATTTTAGTCTTATTAACATTAATCTTGAAACCCGAAACCAAACCATAATAATGAATCAGTTGTAATAACTTTACTACAGAATAAGTAGGTTGTGACAAAGTAACCACCAAGTCATCCGCAAAGGCTCTTAACTTATATTCTTTTTTGTTAACTTCTATTCCTTTAATTTCCTGCGACTCTCGAATTTTGATCAACAATATTTCCAATGTTAAAACAAACAACAACGGTGATAGTGGACATCCCTGCCTAGTACCTTTCTCTATTGTAAAAACCTCTGACAAACTTCCATTAACAATAAGTTGTGCCGTTTGTTTTTGATATATTACCGTAAGGGCTTGTACTATCTTTTCACCAAAATTCATCTCTTCCATTACTCTTAACATAAAATGCCAATTCAGTTGATCAAAAGCTTTTTCAGCATCTAAAAATATCAGCCCTGCAGGAACTTGGTTGTTCTTATCTAAGTATTCTAATAAATTGATAATTTGTCTAACATTATTTTTCATATACCTTCCAGTTATAAACCCAGATTGATCTTTATGCACAAGGTAATGCACAACCCTCATAAGCCTATTTACTAAATTTTTTACAAATATCTTATAATCCACATTTAAAAGAGATATAGGCCTATAATTCTTTGGTAAGGTAAGATCTTGATCCTCCTTTGGAATCAATGATATAAAAGCACTACGCCATGAAGGAGGAATCTCTAGACCAGTGATTCTCAACCTTTCTAATGCCGTGACCCCATAATACAGTTCCCCATGTTGCGGTGACCCCCAAGTGGGTGTGGCCACCAATAAGAGGGAGTAGGACAGCTAGGGAAAAGGGAAAAAAATGGCGGACAGCATGGTTTGGTGACCCTCATGAAATGGTCATTCGACCCCAAATGGGGTCCCGACCCACAGGTTGAGAACCACTGCTCTAGACCCTGTAAAATATCATTAAAAAGATCACCTAATGGTTGAATCATCTCCTCCATTAGAGCTTTATAATAAACAGCAGTTAACCCATCCGTACCCGGTGCTTTCCCTGGTTTCAATTGTTGAATTGCTAACGCAATCTCCTCCTTAGTAATTAAGCCATTAATTTCCTGTTTCTGATCCTCTGTCAGTTTGGGGAAACTAGCCTCACTTAAATATTTGTTTATATCTAAGATTTGCACATCGGTAGATTTATATAATTTTTGGTAATAGTCCAAAAAAGATTTCTTAATCAATTCCTTCTGGGAGACTAATTTACCCTTATAATTTATTTTATCTATTATTCTCTGTCTCTGTTTCTTTCTTAACTGATAAGCCAACCATCTCCCTGGCTTATTAGCATTACAAAATGTATTTTGTTTCATAAACAATAAGTTAGTTGCAGCTTGATCTGCTAACAACATATTAAATTGTGTTCTTAACAACTTTACAGATTCTTTGATGCTTTCATCAGAAGGATTTAAGATCAAAGACTTTTCTTTTAATTTAATTTCATCTTCCAATTCTTTACGTTTCTGAATCTGCTTTTGCTTATGACAGTTATTCATTTTTATCAAGATCCCACGCATAAATGCTTTACCTGCATCCCATACCATTGACATTGAAGTCCCCTTATACATATTTAAGGCAAAATAATCCTTTAAACACTCCTTTAACTTTTGAACATTCTTTTCTTGTCTGAATAGGTTTTCATTCACCCTCCAGGATCTTCTTTCCTCTTTTTCTTGAATCAGCTCCATCCAAACTGGACTATGATCCGTCAACGACCTAGGAAAAATCTTTACATTCTTTACTCTATTATATAAGTCCGTTGTAATAAAAAAAAAGTCAATTCTTGAGAAGGATTGGTGTCTATCTGAAAAAAAAGTGAAATCTCTCTCCTCTTGATTACATTCCCGCCAATAATCCCTTAGTTCCCAATCCTCTTTCATGTCAAAAAAAGGCTTTAGGTAATTTTGCCTGTTTAAAAAAAGGAGAAGAACCTTTCTTATCCCTTTGTATATCTAAAACACCGTTCCAATCACCCATTAGTACCACGGATCTATAGTCCAACAAAGTTATTTTTTGATGTAACAACCTATAAAATTGTTCCTGTTGCTGATTTGGTGCATAAAGTCCCACTATAAGTACTTTCTTACCATATAAGCCAAGTTCAATCATCACATATCTTCCTTGGGGATCTGATTCTACCAGACAAGCTGGTAAATTTTGTTTCACATAGATAACAACTCCCCCCTTTTTCCCAGGAGCAGAAGATACAAAATGAGATCCCAGACGAGCATTAACTAAATATTTCTGATCCTTAAGTAAAATATGAGTTTCCTGTAAACAAATAACATCATCATTATGTTGCTTCAAATAATAAAAGATTTTTTTCCTTTTCTGAGGAGAATTCAATCCATTAACATTCCAGGTCAGAAACTTTGCCATCTCCCTTGGCCAGGAGCCCGGAGAAGACTCCTTCAAGATCTGCCATTGCTGCATGTGTTGCAGAACTCTTGGGTCTTGCTCCTCCCACCGGCGATGAAGCACTTTCAGAAGAAGATTCTTTGGCCTCTTTCTTGCATTGCTCCTTCTCCTTATAAGCTGCACGGGTCATTCTCTGCTCTTTAACCTCCGTTTGACGTTGCCATTCAGCTTGCAGCATCCCAGCAGAGACCAGACCTAATGCCTCAGATTGCTGCCCCAACTCTTTACCACTCAAGGATTTCTGAACAGATGAAACTGAGCCTGCACCCAGGACCGTATTATAAAACTCTCTGGCTTTATCAACCGTATTCAATCTATAACGCGTCCCCGCATGGCTCAGAACAATACCCATCGGGATCTCCCATCTAAATGGCATCGATCTGGCTTTAAGCTCATTAACTAGAAAAGAAAAATCTTTCCTATTTCTTAAGA